CTAGCTTAAAGATGGATTTGAAAATGGTTCTGGATGCAATTAGATTATGCTATTTGCACATTTTGTTGGTCAAAGCGATTCAGGAAATGGAGGAACAGCCTTCACTTCTTGTGGGAGGAGCAGTAAAATCATATTTTGAAGGGGTTATGTGTACTGGAGCAGGTGGTTGCTTCCATTTTTCCAAGTATTCTTTATTTCTTCTTTTCTTTAAAAATGAAGTATAGTTGATGAACAATAATGTGTTAGTTTCAGATATATAACAAAGTGATTCAGATATACATATGTGGGCAGAGGGGCTTCTGTGGTGGCTTAGATGGTAAAGAATCCATCTGCAACGAGGGAGAACTGGGTTCAGTCCCTGGGTTGGGAAGATCCCCTGGAGGAGGGCAGGGCAACCCACTCTAGTATTCTTGGAGAATCCCCATGGACAGAGGAGCCTGCGTGCTGCAGTCCATGGGGTCGCAAAGAGTCGGACACGACTGAGCTACTAAGAATATGGGTGTGTGTATTCTTTTTTTGTTTGTTTCTTTTCCATTGTAGGTTATTACAAGACATTGAATATAGTTTCCAGCGCTAAACAGTAAACCTGTGTTTTTTAAAATCTATTTTACATATGGGAGTATGTACTTGTTAATCCCATAATCATAATTTATCCCTCCCTGCTGTTTCTTTTTATTAAAGCGGGCAATCCATTGGCAATTCGGCAGTGCAGTTTTAATGAAAATGGAGAAATAAAATTACAAAATGTGACAATAGGAAATTGTAATCAAAATCTGGAAACCCTGGAAAAGCAGGTAGGCTATATGTTCCATGAGATGGGCAATGGGAAAAAAGTTCAGACTGTATATACTCTCTGTTCTTCAGATACTTGATGCCAAACCAATGCTTTCAATAATCTCAGACTAGAAACAGCAAAGACTAGTAACTAAAACCATCCTTATATTTTAAAGTTGCTATCCATTTGTGAAAACGGACAGTTGGACATGTTGGTTTGGCAAAGGTCAGCAAATGATAATTTATAGCATTTTTTTTATTTTTTAATTTTTATTTATTTTTTTATATTTTATTTTATTTTATTTATTAGTTTTTTATTTTTTAGAACTATTTCAGTATTTTTGATAGCTGCATTTTACATTTGATATATATTATAAAGAAAATGAAAGCATGTCTCTTCTCACTTTAGTTTTGGTATGGTACATTTTTTAATAAAATTTTATTTTTTAGCACCAAAAGTATTTTGTATTGGGGCATAGCCAATTAATAATGTTGTGGTAGTTTCAGGTCAACTGTGAAGGGACTCAGCCATGCATATGCATGTATCCATTCTCCCCCAAACCCCATTACCATCCAGGCTGGCACATAACATTGAGCAGAGTTCCACGTGCTATACAGTAGGTCCTTGTTGATTATCCATTTTAACTGTAGCAGTGTGTACATGACATTCTCTAGGTTCTTAACTATTTTTTAAATGGCCCAACATGTTTGACCACTGAAGTTTTGACTGAAAATAGATACCTAACATTTGATACCAAAAGGAAGGTAGTTTATGGTCTCTTGGATCAGAATAAAGAGTGTAAACAAACTATGATCAAAACCCCTTTGAAACAGGAAGTTCAGAACCTGATGCTGGTCTCGGAGCTGTATTCATGAGCAGGTGAAGTGGGAAATATAATTATACTTTAATGCAAATTAGATTATTTTGACTAAGGATATACTCAAATGCAAATGCAAGGAATTGTAATACCTGGGATCGAGCAAGGGGCGGGGGAGGAAGAAATTTATTTTTATGTGTTCCTCTTGGCACTAGGCATGTTACGTGTGTCATCTCATTTAGTTCTTACGTAACCTGTAGCTCAAACGGTAAAGAACCTGCTTGCTAATGCAGGAGACCAGGGTTCGATCCCTGGGTTGGGAAGTTCCTCTGGAGAAGGGAATGGCAATCCACTCCAGTATTCTTGCCTCACAGAAAAGTCTGGTGGGCTACAGTCCATGGGGTCGAAAAGACTCGGACATGACTGAACGACTAACGCACACAACCTCTGTGAGTTATATTTTCATTCCCATATTATAGATTATTCTAGCTAATCACACTTGCATGTTATTGAGTACTGCTGTGTGCTAAATACTGTGCTGAACATTTTATATGTGTTATTTTAATTTTAAAAGATCAGCATTGATGTGCTCATTCTATAGATGAGGAAACTGTCTCTGAGAGTGTCCTATTTTGCTCAGTGAACCACAGCCAAAAAGTGATGGAGCCAGTCTTTAAAGTCCACACTGTACCACACTGGCTCCCTAATCTCAGTTGGGCAAGGGAGTGGGTGAGGATGAGGGTGTGGAAATGGCTGCCAACCACATAGGTTGTATGGCTCAGACAGTAAGGAATCTGCCTGCAATGCAAAAGACCTGGGTTTGATCCCTGGGTTGGGAAGATCCCTTGGAGAAGGGAATGGCAACCCATTCCAGTATTCTTGCCTAGCAAATCCCATGGACAGAGGAACCTGGCGGGCTACAGTCCATGGGGTCACACAGAATCAGGCATGACTGAATGACTAACACTCGCACTTTCACACAGCTGGGGGACAGGCTTCATGTTGTGGAGTCTGATAAGCCAGTTTTTGATCGTCATTTCTGTCATTTGTAAGCTGCATGAACTTTGTGTGAGCTCCATAACCTCTCCAAGCCTTTAAATAGGAATGAGGGTGCTCAACTTGCAATATTGTTTTGCGTATTAAATATAACACCTATAAAGCATCTAGTTAAATGCCTAACACATAGCAGAGACCTGGCCATTGAATGAGAAGCTTGTTTCTACTGATTGGACATTGTTTCTGACTCTTCTGTGAGAGTAAATAGTCTGTGACCTTGGTTTGATTTTTGCAACGATGCTGCCATCTAGTGAAAAACTAAGCCACACAGACACATACGTATTAGCATTTGGCTCCACTAAAGATAATACGGATTAATATGTTTAGCCTCACAACCTAGAGCCTGGAGGTTCACTGGTGCCTGGATAGGTTTCCTAGCTTCCCTAGCACTATGTGCTGCAAAGCCAGCTTAAAAAATTTCCATCCCATTGCAGGCTATAATTTTGTAAAATACTAATGAATTACTAGGAAAGTAAAGCAAAAAAGGCTTATAGGATAAAAATCCATTTTACAAATTACTAGATTCAACAGCGTAGAATTGTTATGTTTCTGACCACTTTGAGTTTCCATTTCTACCTCTCTATGGGCAATCAGTGAACCACCATTGGTCCGTGGGTTATACTTTGAGGAGCCCTGACCTGGCATAGTTAATTAATCCTGGCAAGTATTAATAGTAAGGGCTGGGAAAGCCTCTGGCCTGCATGTACTGTGTCCTTTATGCAAGGGAAAAAGCAGAACTGAAAAATGGAGTGGATGTGATGTTCATGAGGTTGGGGGTCAATTCAGTCCCAGCTTATTCAACTGTGTCGCTTGCACAGTGTTCAGGTGTAGTTTATAAAGTTAGGGCTTTTTTTTTTTTTTTTTAACAGATTGTCAATATCTCAACACAGTCTCAAAGTATTTCTAATGAAGTCCAGATTTTAACATCGAATGCCAGTAAATTAACTCCTGAGAACATCATGTCTGCTACGAAAGTGGTTGGACAGATTTTTAACACATCCAGAAATGCTTCATCTGAGGTAAAACTCATATGGTTTTTAAAAAAGGGAGGGGAACAAAGAAAGACATCTCAAACTCTACTCCTTACTACAAGGTATGGACTTGGGCAGGGTTTAAGTTGCTCAAAACCATTTTGCAGAGCACTCTCTCTGAGAGATGTTCAAAGGAATATTGGTTTAAAAAAAGGGCTTCTTGTCCAAATATTCTCTTTTGGGATAGCCACAAATGATTATCATGGTAAATCTTCTGGAAAGCCCTGGAATGAACAAGTCTATTTCACTGCATTAATATGTTTATCAATCGTGTTTGACCTTTCGCCTCTGTTCAGTTCCAAATAACTAGAGTTCCAAGAAACTCACTTTGGATCATGTTGTTTTAAACTGTGGTCCCTTTCTGTTGAGCATATTTGAATTTTAGTCTTGGTTTTCCAAAAAATTGAGCCTAGTTTACATTTCTGATATCATAACCTGTTAAACTCTGGTACCTGAAAATGGTAACTGCAGGCAGCATTCACCAATTGGCACAGATTAGGTACTGGCCTAGCAGGGTTTATAAACCACCAGTATGGAAGGACCCAGTGTCTGCTAGTTGGATATCAGCATGGCCTGAAAGCATCTGTTTTATTGTATTATTTTTAAATAGTTAATTTTTTAAAAAATGTTTTTTGTTATCCTAGGTCATTTGGAAAGAAAGTGGGATTCAAATTGCAAGTTAATAAATATGGAATTGAAAGAAATATAATGACCACCAAACATAGAATTTATGACAGGATTAGCCCATAAAGACAGAATGGTGTCACTATTCGTAAAGAAGGCAGTTAAAATGTAATCAGGTGTGGAGACATTGTGTCTGACCTATTTCTGAGTTTTTAATTTTAAGAAAACTGGAAATAATTTTACTAAGCCTATTAGTTACTAACAGTTAGAGTAAGTATAATTAAGGTCTTATATTAAGTATTATGGACTGTAATGTTTTAAAGAGCCCTGTACTCTTCTTATTTTGTTTCTGCCTCTGTATCCAAGCACCTGCTTTTGTGCTTTTGGGGGTGAGGGTGGAGGTTCTGTGAAACACCTTGAGGTCAGATTCAGAGACCTAAGCTTCCTAATTAACTCAGTTTATATTTTCACTGTGCCTCGCCTTTATTCTCTCTGCCTTCTTAGGTAGACTAAAAACCAAAGCTTTCGTTTTGTAAAACATCTCTAGATTACCATACCAACGGTGCCACTTGATGCCGTGATCATTCATGGCAACTCTAATGATGATGATGCCGTGCGAGGCGTCTTCTGTGATAACCAGTGCCTTCTTCCTCGCAGGCGAAAATAGTTGCTGTGACAACAGTGAGTCAACTTCTAGATGCCAGTGAAGATGTTTTTCAAAGAGCTGCTTCTGCTGCTGATAGTGATGATACCTTTGCAACGTAAGCACAGTTCCAGTTTGGAAGGAAAACCTAATGCAGTGCTTCTTACTTTCCTAGATTACAGCATTAACAGAGGTGTCTTTATTTCTCTCGTGGATACACTAAACAGCTAATTCTCTGGAGTGCAGACTAAAGCCGTAGCTTTCTAACTCCTCATTGCAGGGGTGGCCATGGCCTGGGATGTAGAGTAACTGGGATGATTCAGATCAGGACTTGTTTTCCCAGCCTGAGTTTGGCATGGCCCAGGAACCACTGCATGCATAATTCTTCCAGCTCCTTTCTCAGTGCACCGAATTGCAAATAACAGCATAGCTTTGCAAGACACATTTCTAGTTCCCCTGCACCCCCAACCCCACCCTAGTTCAGCTCTTCCCAAGATCCTAGTGTAGTTTGATTTTCTTTAGCTTTCCCAAGGCTACACTGAAAAAAAAAAAAAAAAGAGGATCCAACTCTGCCTGCTTTCTCTCTTTTGGATTCCTATGTCACAGATTATGTCTGGTTGCACATTTATACTAAAACTTGTGTACTTTGTTCATAGAGGTCTCTCACTAGGATTCAATGTGTTCTTATCTTCTATACAATTTTCTTAACTCTTTAAAAATTTAATTAAATATGCCTACTCATTATAGAAAAAAAAACTATGTAGAGGAATGAAAATTTAAATATCATCTCACCTTAACCTGTTGGTGTATATATTCAAGATTTTTTCCTCTGTGTGTGTATATCCTACTACATACTCTTTTTTTTCTTTTAAGATTTTTTTGATGTGGACTATTTTTTAAAGTCTTTTGTTTAATTTGTTATAGTATTGTTTTTGTTTTATGTTTTGTTTTTTGGCCACATGGCATGTGTGATCTTAGCTTCCCGACCAGGAATTGAACCCACATTCCTGCATTGGAAAGTGAAATCATGACCGCTGGACTACCAGGGACGTTTCTACTGCATATTTTTTAAATTTAGAACTTGTTTTTGTCACTTTATAATACCTTATAAACATCTTCTGAATATAAATACCTATGCATCTACGTCATATTTTAGATTACTGCATAATATGAGTGAACTGTTATTTAAGCAGTTCTCTGCTGCTGAACATTTAGATAGCTTCAGGTCTTTAGATATTTTGAGCAATCAACATTCTTGTACACAATCTTTGTTTGCATGACCTATTATTTCCTAGAAGTAGTTCTCAGTTCTCTAACAATTATGACCAGTACCTATTTAGTGTTGAGGCTCCAAAGTGGAAAAAGCACAAAAGCAGGAAACAGAGAACATTCACAAGATTATACTTCTGAGAGATGGTGGTGGAGGTGTAAACAATTGAACTGGTGTATTTTATGACTTCAGATTTCACTGGGAGTCTGGAACCTTCTTACTGGCAGTGTAGATGCTCCCATTTTTCTTGAAGTTGGAGAAGGACGCACCCGTGAGATCAGAGTCTGTGTTCAGTGAACTCCCTCCAGAGCTGGAGGCTCTGTGTTTGCAGTCTTGCTGGAGGCAGAGGAGAAGAGTGGATGTTTTTGGTGAGAAGGCTGAGGAAGGAGCCACTGCGGGATTCAGCTGAGGAAGTCACAGATCATGAGACAGATGAAAACACTGTCCCAACAATAAACAGTTATGATTTTTATTGTCTTCTGGCATGGAAGGAAAAAAAAAAAAGGCTGTGTGATTTATGTGTTAATTCCAAATGGCATCAAAGAAGGTGTGTAAAGGAATAAATGAAACATTTAAATATAGGACGTGTTGAAATATGAATTGATAAAACCACAATCAGACCCTCCTTCCTCCCGTTCTGAATTTCTAATCTACCTATTTTTCTAATGATGGGCTATCAGTTTACCCTCTCCCAGGTGATCTTTTGCGTAAAGTGCTGTGGACTCGGGTCTTTGTTCATGTAGATAAGACTTCTGTCTTCACCTTCTAGCTCTAAGATCAGGTCACCAACCCTTTAGAAAAATCTTGGTGACCTGCCACCAGAGGTACTCTCGCTCCTCTCTCCCTTGGAAGGAGATTGTTCTTGAAGCAACTCTTCCACTGACCTGAGACCAGTGCGCAGATTCTCCTGATAGACACCAGCCTTCATGGTGTATCTCACTCTGATTTTCCATTCTTTCATTCCCAGGGGAGGGAAATAGCTTCCCTTATTTTCAACAGGAATAATTAAGCCTCTCATTTCAAATTTGTATTTGTCCTTACAATGACATGCTGTCTTTCCCCAGTATACACGGGAGGTTGGTTCCAGGACCACACTCTCTTTTACCTCATCTGCTCCCGACAGATACCAGAATTCCCAGATGCTCAAGTCCCTTATATAAAATGGTGCCGTTGGCTCTTTGTATCATCAGGAGGCTCCATATTTGCAGATCCAACCAACCACGGATGTGAAACCTGAGACACGGAGGGCCAGACATAATGACCTCTCTGGGCCCTGTTCAAGCCAGGCTTTTCTGATATAATTGCCGCACTAATGGAAGATTCCTGAGTGAAAGGGGATCCGATTGCTTCTTCTAGTCATTTGTACCAGGTTGATGGCCAGTCTCCTGACCGGCACCCACCTATCATCCGATCATAATGACGAGGAGGAAAGAATATTATGGGAGGAATAAACGCCTTACACGTGGCCAAGGCTAGAGCAACCCTTAAAAACGGCAAACACTCCCACGCATCTAGCACATTCTCCCTGTTAGTCTTCAATGCCTGAAGAAGCTTCTCTTAGTGTCCGCAGTGTTTCACAGGTACTGAGCTTTTAGTGGATGCTCAACAGATACTGTTGGTTGAATGAATTATGTTCCTAGCAGGCTGGAGCTTTGTTAGGTGTTCCTCCTGTTGAAAGCAGCTCTGGGGTTTCATTGTTTTTCATTAAGTGGGAAATACATAGTGTGAATCGCTGAAAATTACAGAAAATAGTATTATGAAAGGAAAACTTTCGCAACAGTGACTTTACTTGACTGTTTCCTTATGAATGGTTACCACATTCTCTTTATGAAATTTCTTTAATTATTTAAAATTTTCTTTTTTTAATGTTACTTGGGGAAGGGAAAAGATATATTAATGGCAGGAATAAAGTTTTAGAATGAAGAATAATTACATTTTAATGAAATTCTTTCATTTCTGGGAAAATTAGATTGAATCTGTTGTCTTAGACATAGACATTTTGTTTTGTCAAAAACAGAAAAAGTTCAAATATTTTTATGGGAAACAGGAAAAAGAAACAATCTCATGACTTATCTTTGAAAGTTAAAGTCGCTCAGTCATGTCCAGCTATTTGTGACGCCGTGGACTATAGCCCACCAGGCTCCTCTGTCCATGGGATTCTCCAGGCAAGAAAACTGGAGTGGGTTGCCACTTCCTACTTCAGGGGATCTTCCAGACACAGGGGTTGAACCCAGGTCTCCCACATTGCAGGCAGATTCTTTACTGCCTAAGCCAGTTTATCTTTGGAGAACACCAAATTAACAGATGCCCCCCACTCCCTCCCACTGTCCATCTGATCTATCTGTGAACTTATCCAGAGCAGAAACAAGCATTGTGAAAAGCTGCAATGCTTAGTTAATAGCTGAGGCAATGAGCTCCATGTCCTGCTCCTCCATAATTCCCTATGAACTGTCACCTCAGGAGTCAGCACTTAAATGGTTTGAAATCCGTGGGCTTTGGGTGAGAGGAGGGAGTTAAATACGTGGATATTGAGTCTCAACACTGGAGAAACAAGAATCACGTGACTGGTCAATGGGAGGGCTTGGCGGTGCTATCCTTTTATGAGAAGATCAACATAACAAAGACTGTTTCTACTGGGAAATCTGTCCTCCTTGAATTCCAGCTTTCTGGCATCTATATCCAAGGTACCCTACAGTAGGAAGAGTTTACCAGAAAAATTTTGGCTATTCTTAATGGTACATTTGTAGTTTCATTGCATCGTGGTCAGGAACCATGTCCTGTATAACTTCATTTTTTAATTTATTTTTAATTGAAGGATAGTTGCTTTACAATATTGTGTTGGTTTCTGCCATATGTCAATATGAATCAGTTAAAAAAAGAAGAAGAAGGTACATGTAACAAAATAAGACTATGCTTAAAAAGAAAATCAATCTTGTTACAGGATTGTGCCAATATTGTGATTGCTTGAGCTCTGTGGGCATCCCTTGTTACTGGAATGTGGGACACACACAACTGATTTTATAACAAATCTCAATAATAGTGTGTTGTTACTTTTTTTTCTATGCAGGCTTATTGAGCAAATGGAGACATATTCCTTGTCGTTGGGCACCCAGCCATTGATAGAACCTAATATAGCAATACAGTCAGTTAATTTCTCTTCAGGAGGCAATGAGGGGTCTACAGGTGTTCTGTTCACTGTACTGAAAGGTGAGCTGTTTGTTTTGTGTTCTTGTAATAGCAGAGAATATTCTGCAACCAATAATGCTCTATTCATGAAAGTGTAGACTTTTATAAAATTCTGCTTTTTTTCCTTCTCATAGGAGCTAGCGATTCTCTGACTTTTGGTTCCACATCTGTAAAGGTAGACGTAGACAAACTGAATCCCAGTGAACAGGCTGAACTTCAGATCTTGCTGAAAAGTAGGTCTCAAATTACGTTACTTGAAAAATGCACTCACATTCATGGAATTAACAGCTTAAAATCCATTGAGCAAGAAATTATGTTTACTTAAGTTACATACTGAATAATTTGCATGTGAGTATCTTTGAGCTCTGACAAATTTTGGTAATCTCAAGTCTATTATTCTAGGCCACAGAGATGATTTTTTTCCCCCTGTCTTTCTTTTCAAAAACACTGGAGGGTGATAGAATTGAAATGCTCTGGCTCATGAACACAATCTGTTTTCCACCAAAAATGTAGCCAAATGGCTCAGTTTTATACTTAAAAATACACTTAAAAAGTACTCAGTCATAAACTCTGCCCATGTTTGCTAGTGGGATGGTACTCAGAGGCTTAAATTCATCCTATTGACTTGTCCTAGGGATACTTTATGTAATTGACAGTCATCATATAGCAGTACTAGTTTTCAGTTATCTCCTAGTATGGTGCCCATGATGAGCTCCTTATCATCTTGCATATAACCTTTCAGAAATTTCTTGTGTCTAATTTGTCATGGCTGTACTATTCAAAGTCTAAAACTGACAATTTGACTGCAATAAAACAGACTGAAGGCACACATTTATTTTTATTTTCTCCCCAAATAAAAAATCCAGTGCCAAAAAGTACATATTTTAGAAAGACTAAATTCATAATTCTCATTGGTTATATAATTCTAATTGGCTAACTGATTCTTACAAATATCTTCCCTCCAGTCTTTTACTTGGTAAAAGTAAGTAGTAGCTATCTTTTACCTGGTTTTTCATGTCATTTGTCATACTCAAATTTTACTTTATAATGCAGTCCAATACATCAATCTTTTTTTCTATAACTGGTATTTAAATCCATTGCTGTACTAAAGTCACAATTATAGTGTTCTATATTGTCTTCTGAATATTTTTAGTGTTTAATTTTACATCTAAGTCTTTATTGAACCTGGAATTTGTGTTTGTGTTTGGTGAAAGGTAGATATAATTTTTAATTTCATATAAACTATCATTAGAATCAAACGGGTTGAAGTAACACTGTCTAGAGTCAAAGACTCAGGTTGGACTAAAAGGAGCATGTTTTTATATTTTTTAAAAAGACTTCAAGATTGAAGTGTATAAGCAAAACTTATTGGAAATACAAGGTCACATCAACAACCTTGTGTTATAGGGAGAAATATAAAGTTACTCTAGAAACTGAAGATCAAGTAGACAAAAAATAGCTAATAAACTTCACCTTTATATACATTTGCATGTGTATGTAGTTTTATAGACAGAAAATAGATAATAAAAATTATTTTCAAGTATCTATGGAGTGCTTCAAAAACTATTAGGTCTAATAGAAAAACTTACACATTTTACCTATGGCTGATTCATGTTGATATATGGCAGAAACCAACAGAATATTGTAAAGCAATTATCCTTCAATTAAAAATAAGTTAATTAAAAAATAAAGCTATACAGGACATAGTTACTGACCACAAGTCAATGAAACTATAAACGTACCATTAAGAATAGCCAAAATTTTATCCCATTAGAAATTTTAAAATACCATTGTTAGAAAGGAAATTAAAGGACAGATTACAGATTACTTGAAAATTAGTAGCAATGAGAACTCCATAGATGGAACCCTATGGAATATGGACAAAGGTGTAATTAAAGGAAAGTGTATTTCCCTTAATAAATCTATTAGATAATAAGAGAAATTGTTAAAAAAATAAGCATTCACCTAAAGAGGCATAAAAAGTAAAATAAATTGCTAGCAAATCTAGAAAAGAGGAATTAATAAAATGGCATAAATTAATAAAAATGGGACATGATTAACAAATGCTAGATGGATCAACAAAATATTGATTCCATGAAAGGCTAATGAAATATACACAAGCTTCTGATAAATTTGATCAAGAAAAGAGAGAGAAAATATAAATAAACATCAAGGAAGATTATATATTGAAATATGGAGATTCTTTTAAAATTATAAGATAATGGTAAGCATAATTTGTTCTAGTGAATCTAATTATCTAGATGAAAAGATAATTTTCTAATAAACAACCAGAATACTGTAGGAATGAGGAGAGGGGTGAGTAGGGGATTTCATTTTTTAAATGCATATACTTATATGGATTTGGATTTTACATCAAGCATGTCATTCTTTTATAAAAATAAGATTAAAAAGCAGCCATATTACATTATGGCTGACATTACTAAGTGACATTACTTTGTCACTTAGTGTGACAGAGAAGGAACAATTTGGCGGGCTCAGAGTGACGTGAGAACTCTTCAGAAGCCAATGTCTTTATTTCCCAGAAGAGGACAGAGCAAAGTGGGGTCTGTGGAGGATGTGTGGGGGGCTGTCAGGGCCTTACCTACCAATCTCTCAAAGCACAAGCCTGATTATGCTGGTCCCACCACCACCATTCTAGTTTTCTCTGTACTTATAATGTATATAATATATATGTGTGTGTATGCATATACACACAGAGACACATGTGCGCACACACACACAAATACATGCAAGCTTTTCACTTGTAAAAGATATCAGAGTTTAGGGAATTTATTCAGCTAAAATGTATCTTCACTGTTGTTGCTTCTGCGGTTTTAAATCTGGCCCAGAGGTCTGTGAAGTGTCAGGAGGCAGCTCGAAGGCGGCTCTGTTTGACCGTTGCCATGGCCAGCAGCCCCGCTGCAGAACCCCCTGTTGCGCCACGCTCTGGTAGGGTCCCTGAGAAGCAGCGGACCGCTTTTTCCAGTGTCCCGAAGGAATGTGTCCCAGTCATCTTTCAGCCTTGGGAAAAAGCCTGTGATTGTCCTGAAAGAGCGGAGACCAGTCGTTCAAGAGCTGATGGAAAGTATTTACTCCGTTGAAAGAATCCCTGCTATGCACAACTTGAGCTGCTGGCTCTGTGATTTAATAAACTGGTCTCTGCTCAGTCCCTCTGAACAGGAGGCAGACCTCCCAGAGCAGTCCTCTAGGCACTGCTGTCCTGATGCTCACTCTCCGCTGTTTTCTTATTTGATGACTGTCAGTGGGGGAAGCAACATGGTCTTGAGCTACCTGCACATTATGTTCACTGTCTCACTGCATAGAAAGCAAGAATGTTTACTTTATGCATGAGATCTTTTTGGTATTTTTTTTTTAGGTGGATTAGGCAGAAATTATGGTTTCCATTTAGAACATAAGGAATCTTAGGAAAAAAATTAATGTGGGTGGAATGGCCAACCATATGTTATATGTGTTAATTAGGTGCTGCTGTTAAGTAAAGGCAGCCAGCAGACCTTTATTTTCTGTATTTCACTTGAGTGTTAAGCAGTCAGGCAGCTCAGTGACGGCATGGGACTTTCTTACTTACCCTAGGGTTCTCTTATTGATTTTAGTGTCTTTTTCCCCCCTCACAGCTAATGTCAAGGCATGTGGCTTCGTAGTGTATCAAAACAACAAGCTTTTCCAATCAAAAACTTTTATAACTAAATCAGACTTTAGTCAAAAAATTGTCTCAAGCAAAACAGATGAAAACGTGGAAGATCAGAGTGCTTCTGTTGAAATGGTCTTTAATCCAAGGGTGAGTTTTCCCATTAACAGAAATAATTCAGCCCACTCTTGAAAAGCAGGGACAGTTTGGGCAAAAGAAATCCACAGAACACCTCTTTGAAAGTTTGTATGACAGGATTGACTTTAACTTCTCCCCCATCCATATTTTTATCTCACTAGCTAAGTGCAAAATTAATTACTTTGAATTTTATATCCTCTTTCTTCCCCTTAATCTGTAATAAAGATGTTATGCTTTGTATCAGCACATATCATACATAATCATACAATTGATTTCTCATATGGGTAGCTCAGATGGGAAAGAATCTGCTTGCAATGCAGGAGACCTGCGTTCAATCCCTGGCTCGGGAAGATCCCCTGGAGAAGGGAATGGCAACCCATTCCAGTGTTCTGGCCTGGGAGATCCCACGGACAGAGGAGTCTCGTGGGCTATACAGTCCATTGGGTTGCAAAGAGTCAGACATGACTGAGTGACTAGAACTTTCACTTCAAGCTTATTTATCTTAGCCTATTTGATTTTTTCCACACAATTAAGCATTTTGAAAAAATCACTTGCCATTGTTTTATTAATTCACAGTACAACCGAACAGAATTCCAGCTTCATTCCTATGCCTGTGTCTACTGGAATTTTTCCATGAAGGATTGGGACACACGTGGCTGTCACAAACGGGGGGCCACTAATGGACTTCTACAATGCTACTGCAACCATACTACTAACTTTGCAGTGTTAATGGTAAGGGTTTACTTGGTAATCTCTTTCTGGACAAGAGCTTTACTATACACAGGTGTGTTATGTGCTGATTGGAGGTAATTTGGGGATTAGTTTCCATAGACACTCAACTCAACTCAGATTAAATGGGAAAACAAGGAATGAAGTTAGAGAATGGAAGAAAAAAATGCTGGTAAAGGCAATTAGAATAGAGCTTTTTGCAACATAGTCTCAAGATAGATGCAGTCAGTACTGTGCATTTAATAATGAGAAGGGAGCCCATGTGCACAAGAGGAGCTGACAGACTCCATTCAACTAACTTTCCTGTGTAACTTGCATGTCTGAAGCATGAAGTTGCTACACCCAGAGGTAAGGCTGTATAGCTGAGTGCTAAAGGTGGGTCAGTGTGTACCTAGCTGTGGGTGAGTTTGAAAGTTACCCAAGCTTTTTCCATTATAATCATCTAAGTTGCTAAGTGTATGCCAGAAGGTAGGAGAGGAAGAGCTTTCTAATTCAACTCGTCCGGTAGTTACTCTGTGTTCTCTTCACTCTGGTGCTAGGCTGTGTGAGCAACTGGCAACAGCTCTGGTATGCAGGTGTTTACACACCTCTAGAGAGTTCTTGAACCAACTTTTTAGGAAGAGGAGCTTCATTTATTGCATTTCCAGAAACCTATTATTCTGGCAAAAGGAAAAATATTTATTTTTTATGCTAGATGGAATGTTTTTATACTGCAGTGGAATGGGGATGGATGCAGACTGTCTTCTTATTAAGGAGCTCTTAACACTATAAATCTTCCAAAGAAGTGGATGTTTTAATTTTCTGTTAGCTAAGAAATATTCGTATTTGGGAAGCCAGTGGGGATCACAACATACTGGTATAGCATAAAATATCAAATTAAAGAGTCTTGCTTTTAAAATATTTTTGAAGTAATTATCATTTTCTTATTTTAATTACCAAATATTTAAAATTGATTTTGATTATTTTATAATTTGCATTATAGAGAGATCTGCTTTCTCAATCAGAAAATGGTAAAGATAAAATTCTAATGTTTTTGATATCTTAAGATCATTAGTATTACTGAATAGCTGTGTAAAACTCAGATTGCTTTACATATTAAATGATACAGGTTATATGTTCATAGTTTTTTTTCCTCCTGTTTTGAGGTCAGACTTTCAACTGTTCTTACTAATATCTAAATCTGCCTCAATGCCCACATATTAATATTTATCATTACTTTTCAATTGCAAATTTTTTAAAAGGTGATTAGAATTGTATTAATATGTAAAGTGTAAGAGCAGGTAGACTCTGAGTGAACAGATGATTTCTAAGATCTAAAGATCTATATAGTCTATGATTCTTTGTCATCTACTTAGTATATTACATGTAGGAAGTAATGTGACGTTTTTGCCTTGTAATTTTTTATTTTTTTAACATAATTTTGTTTGCATTTGTTTTTAGCCATGCCGGGTCTTTGATGCTGCCCGGGCTTTTCTCTAGTTGCGGTCCACAGGCTTCTCGTGGCGGCCTCTGTTGCTGAGGAGCACAGGCTTGCGGGTGCGAGGGTTTCAGTAGCTGTGGTCCTTGGGCTCCTAGTTGCTGGATGGGCCTAGTTGCTCCATGGCATGTGGGATCTTCCCAGATCAGGGATTGAACCTGTGTCCCTTGCATTGAATCTGCAAAGCAGGTTCTTTACCACTGAGGTAAAGCCCTCAGGAAAGCCCTTATGATTTTTTTAGAATCAAGTTTATTTTTATTTTTTCCTACTAAAGCAATACATACTCAATGCATATAGACTGAAAGTCTACTTATTAAGCAGAAATATACTGATATGGAAAAATGTTTATGATATTTAAACATTAAAATAGCAATTTGAAAATAATCTGATTATGTTAACAAAACCCTGTATATTTGTGCAAGAGACGTAGATGATATTTGTAAACACATTAAAAAAGGTCACCTCTGGGGAATTCCCTGGTGGTCCAGTTGTTACGGTGTGCTTTTCCATTGCAGAGGGCACGGTTTGATCCCTGGTTGGGGAACTAAGACACCACAAGCCACCTGGCGGAGCCAAAAATAAAAATATCACCTCTGGAGAAGAGATGGTAGAGCTTGATGTGGGTAATAGCAGTAAAGAGGAACTTGTGTGTTTTAAAATTGTATCTCTATGTTTAAGTTTCATGTTTTATAAATAAGCATATACAGCTTTTCTAATAATAACAATTTGAAAAATTAAAAAGTACAGGCAGGCAAAAATAATTCTGTACATATGTCTTTATTTACCCAGTGACCACCATTATTACCTCTCCACATTTCTAAGAGTACGTACTCATATGGAACATACCTTTCTGAGACTATAAACTAAAATACTAGAGTAGATATAGATAAATTTCACAAAGGTTAGGTTCCCCTTTCTAAAAGCAAAAATGAACAGGATCTTGTGAATATCTTTTCATATCCAGGAAAATATTTCTGCAACTTTATTTTTAGTACATGAGCTTAGGTGTGCAGGTTTCCCCTTGAATTACAGTTGTGCATACAAATAATGTAACAGGTAAATAACACAACTCTAGTCAATTTAGATAACACAAACAACTTTGATTTTAGACATTGAGGAATAGTGTTTATGTCTTCCCTCACTGAATTAGATAACTGTTCTCAAGCTGCTATTTCATGAATACTGCTTAGAGATGAAGGGGTTGATTTATTTCCTTTTAAAATATATCTTTATATAAAAAGACGTATCTGGATATTTTGACCAACATATTTGACTGTTTTAACCAATGTAACTCTTTGTGATGTTGACTTTCATAGATATTTCAGAGTAGCTTTTTTAAAATAATGAATCTTAACTTATTTTCCAGAGTTTCAAAAAGGAATATAAATATCCTGAATCACTAGATGTATTTTCCACGTTTGGATGTGCACTGTCCATTGCTGGTCTGGCTCTCACAATTATATTTCAGATCGGCACCAGGTAAGAAGAGAAGCAAGCTCATCTCATGAGAGAAATTGTTACCCTGATATTATTTCCTCTCAGCATATTTCTGTTAGAATACAGCCTCTTGGAACTAGAAAGGAAATGAGATTTAGTTCATCATGTTCATTTTATAGGATACTCAGCCCTGGAGAGGCTAAGAAATATTCATAAATAAATATATAACTACAAAATTTGTTAAGTGACTTGAAGGAAAATTACATATCATGTTTATCACGTAAAATTAATGTGGTCCTATAGCTCATTAATGGGCTATCCTGGTTGCTCAGTGGTATAGAATTCGCCTGTCAAGCAGGAGACATAGATTTGATCCCTGGGTAAGGAAGATCCCCTGGAGAAGGAACTGGCAACCCACTCAAATATTCTTGCCTGGAAAATTTCATGGACAGAAGAGTCTGGTGGGCTCCAGTCAATGGGGTCACAAAAGAGTCAGATACGACTAAATAACAACACTAACTCATTAGTGCCATAGTTCCTTAGTATTGAATAGAAGTGTAACTACCAATTTGCATTTGCAAAAGAAAGAAACATTGCTAATCAGCAAGTTTGTGAGGATAAAGTAAATTTTAAACTATATTAAGTTTTCAAATGGTGAAACATTTTAAAAGATTTTTAAATACATATTTTTTTTCCTTAAAAAAAAACTAATTTTAAAAATAAGCATAAACACATATTTCTTTCTGCCTTGACCTCCTCACTCAAGATCCAATTTTGCACAGCACTTGTTATTTTTTGTCACATGCTACATTTGTAACAATCTGTAAATGTAAGCGTGCTCATTTATTAGCTTATTGCTGTACTGTTTTCCTGTTAAGCTTGAAAATGGGTGAGGATGTGACCTCCTTTGCTTTTGTTGTTGCTGTTTTCTCTTGTCTTGTTTTTATAAGTCCATCCCAGGGCCGAGCACAGCAACTGGCCCATGGAGGAGGGATATCTGTGAAATAAATGGGTCGACTGGGCATTCCCACCTGGTTTCTTCTCAAACTCAAGATGTCTCACAGTGCTTCTTTTTTTCAGAATTATTTCTTCCTGAGAAATTCCTTCGCAACTGTTTTCTCAGATGTGTATAGATAAAGGGGTCTTTTGTTCTAAAGGTATTGCTACTTAAACATTTTTTTCCCTGAAGTTTGATTTAAAAAAAAATTGAAAGTCTACAGAAAAGTTGAAAGAGAATACTGAACACCCATATACCCTTCACTTGGATTCACCAGTTACTAATATTTTGTTTTCTCTCTTTTTCTGTTTTTTCCTGAAACTTTGAAAGTAAGTTGTAAACATCATGACCATCATCTCTAAATTCTTCAAGCATGTATGTATCTCCGAAGAACAAGGGCACTCCTACATAATATTATTATCCTCAGAAAAGTTAACTCAAGAATTTAACATTAATATAATGTTATCATGTTAACATCCATATTCACATTTCTCCAGTTGTTCCAGTGATGTCCATTTTAGCTGTTTCCCACCCCCCTCAATTTATTTAGTTATTGTGTCTCTTTAGTCACCTTTGGCCTACAGTGTGAGGCTCTAAGCAACATGTGAGGAGGTAAATATAAAACTATGAACAAGACAGATCATCTCCCTTGGAATTTACATTCTTGGGGAGAAGACAGACATTATACACATATATACAGAAATAAATATATAATTATAAATTGTGGTAAGTGCCTTGAAGGAAAATTACATGCCATGTAATTATAAGTCTGTCACATAAAGTGAAAGCTCTTCTCTCTGTGCTTTCCTTTGAAAAGACATTAGAACATTTATTTGATCCCATCTGAATAAGTTGTGGTAGCTGCATAATTAATTTGTGTGCCTAAAATCTCACTCCTTCTAATTGTCATCAATGTTGTAAAATCATAAAGCATATATTAATATAATTACTCCTTCTAATTGTCATCAATGTTGTAAAATCATAAATCATATATTAATATAATTACTCCTAATTGTCATCAGTGTTGTAAAGTCATAAAGCATATATTAATATAATTGGCAAACAGATTTGTTCATCAGATTCTGAGACATTAGAAATAGAGAAGTACTTGAAGGTGTTAGAACTTTGAGCACATTACTAGGGGAAATAGTTATTTCAAGAGGCCGTGTAGTCTGACAAACACAGAAGGGTCTGGGTGATCGTGAGTGGAAATCTTACAACTTTTTACATACAGGACTGTAGGCTCCCCTAGTGGCTCAGACGGTAAAGAATCTGCCTGCAATGCAGGAGACCTGGGTTCGATCCCTGGGTCGGGAAGATTCCCTGGAGAAGGGAATGGCAACCCATACCAGTATTCTTGCCTGGAGAATTCCATGGACAGAGGAGCCTGGCTGGCTACAGGCCCTGGGGTCACAGAGAGTTGGACACAACAGAGCGACTAATACTTTCACTTTCATACCATAATATACAGAGAACTATGATATGTCGTGAGTTTTAAAGAGTACTTGGTTTACACCCTCAAACTGTATCTTCAGATGAAGGAACAGTCCTCTGGCATGTTTTACATTCTGTTTAGTTGCTCAGTTGTGTCCGACTCTTTGCGACCCCATGTACTGCAGCCCGACAGGCTCCTCTGTCCATGGGGATACTCCAGGCAAGAATACTGGGGTGGGTTGCCACGCCCTCCTCCAGGGGATCTTCCCAACCAGGGGTCAGACCCAGGCCTCCTGCATTGCAGACGGATTCTTTACCAGCTGAGCCACCAGGGAAGCCCTCTTGTGCACTCAGTTCGGTTCAGTCCAGTCGCTCAGTCGGGTCCGACTCTTTGCGGCCCCATGAACCGCAGCACGCCAGGCCTCCCGGTCCATCACCAACTCCCGGAGTCCACCCAAACCCATGTCCATCGAGTCGGTGATGCCATCCAGCCATCTCATTCTCTGCTGTCCCCTTCTCCGCTGCCCTCAATCTTTCCCAGCATCAGGGTCTTTTCTAATAGAGTTCACAAAAGGGCATTTCTGGAGAACAGCTATCACCTTTGATTAGAACACAGTTTCAAGAAAGGAGGTATCAACCTGTTTTCTTGAACTCACTTCTTTATGGGCATCTGATGAAGAGAGATTGTTTCTCTGATGTAGTTGGGAAGGTCTGTCTACCAGCTGGCCCACCTGGGCTATGAACTAGGTTTACATGGGTACTTTAATGTCCTTTTGTTACCTCATGATTTCACTAGAGTTTCTTTTTTGTAGCTTTTTTGTTTATTTAATTGTATTTTTCATTTTCAGGAAAGTCAGAAAAACCTCAGTCACCTGGGTGTTGGTTAGTCTGTGTGCATCAATGCTGATCTTCAACCTCTTCTTCGTGTTTGGAATTGAAAACTCCAATAAGAACATAAAGACAAGTACTAGTGACATCAGTGGTACTAACTTGAGTAACAATGAAATGCTCAGACAAGACACTGTTGTCGTCTCGAATCCCAAATGCACCGCAGTTGCTGTCTTGCTGCACTATTTTGGCTTAGCGACCTTTGTCTGGATGGGACTCAGTGCAGCCCAGCTCTGCTTCCTGCTGATCAGGACCATGAAGCCGCTTCCTCAGCATTTCATCCTCTTTAACTCTTTAATTGGATGGGGTAAGAGTTTGCTTCTCCACTTGCTCAGAAATTTAAGTTTGTTGAAAGCATTTAATTTAAGCAAACCCCTATGGAAGACCTAGTAGTACCAGGCCTTCAGATAGGGGAGATGGAAAATCTGGCAATCACTAAGAGTGCCTTCTGTCTAGTGACGGAGTGTCTTCTGGGAAGAAGGCAGATATGATCCAGGCAGCTATCCTAAACACATCCTAAGCTAACTTCAAAATGTTCATTTCCTTTAACATCTCTGTTAATTAGACTTGAAATTTAGACCACATGTAATCAACCTTCTGGCTACTTTAAAAAAAATATTTCAAGACAGTCAGAGGGTCTCTTTCAAGAAAAATAATTTGAAAAATGTAATGGGTTCCTGCAAAGGAGAGTTGTTTTAGTGTTATCTAAATTTAAATTTATTCAAATGAAAGAGGAATTGAGCCATTTAAGAGTGGACATTGTGTTAACAGTTACAAAAAGATTGGAAATGGTATAGGATTGGTACGCATAGCCAACATTGAAAGGGGAAAAGAAAACACTGAAAAACTATGTCCACTGTTGAGCTGCATCTGTAGATCACTTAGTACATTGTATATAGTGGAAAGAACAATATATCCTGAAAAAGGTCAGGTGTATAATTCATTCATAGTCTTCTATAATTAATCCCAGGCTTGGGTAAATTATTCATTCTGCAATTGTCTTTATCACATAGGAGTTCCGGCTATAGTGGTAGCTGTGACAGTGGGAATCATTTGTTCTCAGAATGGAAATAATTCACAGTGGGAGTTAGACTACCGGCAAGAGGAAATGTAAGTTTTTATTTTTTTGAGTGTAGCTATTCAATGACATCGAGTCCAAAGGTCCTTGTAATATGCATCTCACTTTATAATTGTCATATTATAACTGTGTATTTTAAATTCCCAAAGAGCACATTATATTTTAAATGTGATGACATGAAAATTTCCTATGACAAATCCATTTACAAAGGAAGTAATTACCTTCCTTCTAAATTTATAATTGTGAACTTTTTAATATTAAATTTGTCTTCTTTCATTACCTCTGAAAATCATCGGAAACAAGAAGTGTGATCCTTAGTAACCCCTTATCTTAGGTTCTTATCTAGAAAATGGGAATAACAATAATAGTAATACCTGCTCCGGGGTTACTGTGAGGGATCAAGCAAGTGTGAAAACAGTTTATAACTTGAGCACTCTCCATCCTTATGAACCAATTCTGTGTTGATACGATTATGAGTATTTCATGATGATTTATCGTGCATAAATTCTCTCTGTGGCTCCAGCATGAATAATTGTCAGTAATGGGAGTCCCTTCCTGTACACATTGCTATATTTAAAACAGATAACCAACAGGGACCTATTGTATCGCACATGGAATTCTGCTCAATGTTATGTGCCAGGCTGGATGGGAGGGGAGTTTGGGGGGAGAATGGATACATGTACATGTATGACTGAGTCCCTTTGCTATTCACCTGAAACTACCGCAACTTTGTTAGTGGTCTATACTCCAATACAACATAAAAACTTTAAAGTTTGGGGAAATAAACAATGGGAGTACCTGAATGCATGCTATTTGCTTGAGGAGATGGTATTTGTATGAGGAAATTGAGAAGAAAGCTAGGATGAACTCTATGTGTAGTTCTGCTGCCAAATGGTAACAGCTTTTTATTTTTCCTTCTTATTTTATAAATGCAGCCATTCTTATCCTTGGATTCTGCTTTAATTCTCAGACCAACTTAGATCAGAACAGAACTCTTGGAAATGTGCAAGTATACACAAAGGAAGGCTGTGGTTTCAGGGCGCTCACCTATGTCTAGGTCTGACCATGACCAAGTGTAAAATAGGGAGCTAACTGCCTGGCTTGACTTTAGCAGCCACAGGCCCCAGGCACTATTTTTTTCTGTTTAACTGAAATTAAATATCTTTTGATGAGTTTTAAATTTTTAATTCCACAATTGAAGATCAAGCATAAGATGCAGGTATCTCATGGGAGAGGTAATTCACTCAAATTGCATTATTATTAATTTCCTGCCCTAACTGAGCCACAGGGTTAGACCCATGCCTATAGAAGTCTTCAGTAGAAAGAGGCCTGCTGTCTTACATTTATTCACACTGAGCTGTAAAGAACTGGGAGCAGATTCTTTCCTGAGTACAGTGTTAGATGTTAGGCAAGATGCTGGCAACTGAAAGTAAGAGTTGGGAAGAAAGGAAAGGATGTGTAACATGAATATCAGCGTCATCTTGGACCCTTATCCTCCCTTTCCACCCTGTACACATGCATCAAGGTTCACATTTCTTCAGGACATATTTAGAAAGAGGAAGGACTTTTTTGGGTTTTCTTGAGTCATGCTCCCAGAAATTGCTTCTCAATATACCATACTCCCTGTCCCCCAGCCATGGCTCCCAGTCATGTCTGAAATCCCTTCCCCAGTTCCCTTGATGTACTTCTGCCAGGACCCAGCTAAGGGGTGACTGCAGGACAGGCCACACTCCTGCTTAACGCTCTAGGCTGTTTGGGTCAGAAATCTGTCCATCTTTTTAATTTAAAACTTTGATGGCCACTTGCTTAGTCACCAGAGAAATATCTTGAGATTTTAAAGTACCTCTCAGTAGGATTTTATTAAATTCTTAGCCAAGTGGCCTCCTATTTGTTCTGTGTAGGGGATTGTGAGGTTGGNCTGTCTTTCCCCATGTTTCATGACAAAATCACCAGGGAGTTAAATGCTTCATCTGGGGTTCACCTATAATGCTCTTCAGACCTCAGGTTCATAGCCGTCTGTCAGATTCACCTTGGAGCTTGTGACTCTACTCTTAATTCTAGAAATCCCATTCCTACAAGGATTAGTCTCCATGTAGAATCCATCTGTCTTCTCAGCAGTCTCAAAATCTGAGTTAGTAGTTTCAGAATAACTAAAGAGAGGCTCGTGAGAACAAATCGATAATGACTGTCTCTCCAAGTAACACGGAAGATGCGGGAGGGGAGGAGGTGCCCCTTCCTCACGCACACCTCTTCACGGCCTCGGGCGTCCCAGCCTGTTCCCCGCCCAGGTCTCCCAGTCTCTGTGAGGTAACTGAGGCCCTCATAGACATTTGTATGCACGCACACACACACACACACACACACACATATGACAAAAGTACAAACAGTGATTCTTAGAAATCGTGTTATCTAAAGTTTAAACAACTCAAGACTCAAAGAGACAAAGATAAATCTTTGTCTTAATGGTTTCGTAACTCACAAGTCTGTCTTTATCCAGCAGAGCTGGATGTTTATTTTCTTTCTCTAACCTATCCTTCTCTTTTAAACTGTGTTTCTCTAGGCTGTTTGGGTCAGAAATCTGTCCGTCTTTTTAATTTAAAACTTTGATGGCCACTTGCTTAGTCACCAGAGAAGTATCTTGAGATTTTAAAGTACCTCTCAGTAGGATTTTATTAAATTCTTAGCCAAGTGGCCTCCTATTTGTTCTGTGTAGGGGATTGTGAGGTTGGTAAAAGTAATAAAATGAAAGTAAACTGAAAAATAATTTCTAATAATTTAAATTGTAGCAACATTCCAGTGCAAAACAACTTAGAAATACTTTAGCATGTATAATAATGGTGTTTTACCTGCAGAAAACATAAATTAACTGATTGCCAAATATGTGCCAGGGCTTCTCACATTACTTCATTAATACTCCATTGTCTTCCTGACACTTTCCCATGACTGGGAGAAGTGGATGGTGCATCTCCTGGGTTTCCTTCCCAAACTTGCTCTTCCCACCCATCATCTTCCCCTGCTCAGTTGGGCGAGTACCATCTTCCAGGTACTCCAGCCAAAAGCTTTGGAGTCACTTGTAACTCTCCTATGTCTCCCATCTAACCTCTCAATAGATCCTTTTGCTTTGCTTTTAAACATATCTGGAATCAGACTACTTCTCGGCATCTCCTCTTCCTGGGTCTAGGCCATCAGACTGTTGCAGTAGACTCCTGGCCGACTTCCTCCTTTTGGATGCGCTCTTCTGTTATCCCTGCATCTAAAATAACACTTTAAACACTAAAGACAGAGCATGTCAAGTTTCTCTTTCTCTCCAAGAGCCCATTCAGTCACCTCTAAAGCCCATAAGTAATTTGCGTCTTTTTACTAATCCCATCTGCTTACATCACTCTATTCCGGCCCCACTGGCCGCTTACCTGTTCCTGAAGCTCTCAGCTCAGAGCCTTTGTACTTGGCTGTTCCCTTTGCTGAGAGCACCCTTCCCCGTCATCTACTTCAGATTTTTACTCAAATATTTTTTTTTTCCATAAGTGTTTTCCTGATAACTCTATTTAAAATGAAACTTTTCCTTCCCAATTCCCCTATGCAACACACACAGATACACATATACATGGTAGTAACTACCCTCACTACCTGTTTTATTTTTCTCCAAAGCACTTGTTAACATCTGATATATAGTATATATTTTATTAATGCATCAGTTTTATTTATTGTTTCTGTACCAGAATAACTTCACTGAAGAAAGGAATTTTGCTATTTGATTCACTGTTAATATCTTGGTATCTAGAACAAGGTGGCACATAGCATGTACTCTATAAACACTCATTAAATGAATGAATTTATTCTTATAACAATGCCAGGAGATGATTACTGCATTTCATAAATTAGGAAAAATATGCCACCAAAACTGCCACCAACAATAATAAGAAGACAAAAACAGATGCAATGAGGGCTTCCCTGGTGTCTCAGTGGGAGAGAATCTGTCTCCCAAGGCAGGAGACATGGGTTCAATCCCTTGTCTGGAGAACCCCACGTTCTGCAGAGCAACTATGCCTGTGTACCACATCTGTACAGCCTGAGCTCCAGAGCCCGGGAGCGGCAGCTGCCGAGCCCGCGGGCTGCAGCTGCTGAAGCCTGAGTGCCCGGGGTACCTGCTCTGCACAGGAGGACCCACCGCAGTGAGGGGCCCACACATTGCAGCGGAGAGCAGCCCTGCCCTCCGTATCGAGAAAAAGCCCGCATAGCAACCGAGACCCAGCAGTCAGCACAGTCCAAAGTAAAAGAATAATAACACAAAAACAGAGGCAGTAAGATGACAGAACTGATCAAATAATTTTAATCATTAACCTTTAAAAAATGTCTATTCATGAGACAGTTTAAATAATTTATGGTATAATGAAATCATGGAATAATATGCAGCTGTGAAAAATCATGAGGATAATCTTTTATATTCTGATATGGAATAATCTCCAAGATATGTTTTTACGTAAAGTAAGAAGTATCATATGTTATCATCTGCTTCAGAATCAGGAAAATGTACACCTTTGCCAGTGTACGCATAGCCTAACTCTAGAAGAATACATAAGAAACAGTGACTACCACCAGATATAAAAACTAGGTGACCAGGGATAGTTGTAGGAAGGGTCTTGTCTCTCTATGCTAGTTTGTACCTTTAAAATTTTGAGCCATCTGAGTGTGTTACATATTCAAATATAAAATAAAATAATAATTTACTTAACATCAAACAGCTTGGAAGTGACAGAGAGGGACATTTAAATTTAGGACTGCCTGACTCAGAAGTCCACTTTCTTTCCACTAGACCATACAGTCTCACAGAGGAATTTGGCAGGATCAATGGATTTTATTTTTCTAGTCAGTTGAATTCTTGAAAATCATCTCCAATATATATATAAGGCAAAGGGATACTGACTTTTAGCAGGTCTTTCAGCCAAGTGAATGTCAGTAGTGTGAACAGCAGAGAAAAGAGTTTGTATACTTTTTTTAGTTTGCTGAAATCATTTCTTTTCTCTCCACAGCTGCTGGCTGGCAACTCAAGGAAGCAGTGGTTTGATAGCAAGTCCATTGTTGTGGTCATTCATTGTACCTGTGACCCTTATCCTCATCAGCAACATTGTTATGTTTATTATCATTGTAATCAAAGTACTGTGGAAGAATAATCAGAATCTGACAAGGTAAGATTCCCAGTGAATGGGAAGTTGTCAGGCATGGTTCATATAATACATAATATAGCATAATAATACATTCACTGCTCCTGGAAGAGATTTCAGACTCCAGGAAAATACAAGAGTATGTGGTTTGCAGGACAGATTTTTTTCTTACACTTTGTCTCAGAAAGTGGATCATCTCATCTTCCAGCATCGATACTATAATGTGAGTCTACTGCATTACTTAAGTTACTTTTGTGCTGTGTAAGCCTAACTAAAAACTAAACCCAGAGGCATCAAGGAAAAAATTTTATCTCCCAGTCCCAAATATTCATGAAATCAGGTTTGAATAATTAAAAATATGAGAGGGTTGTGAGGAGATGCCAGTGACTGTATTTTCATTTCACAAACTGGTAACTGTAGGTTATATTTTACATGTGTTGCCTGAATCACATAAGGACTTTAAATTTTTGAAAATTAGTTGCAAACATAAAAGGTGAGAGATTTTACTTAAAAATTATATTTTCTCTTGGAAAAAATTAGAACATCTGGCAAGATTGGGCCCACATTCCCTGCGGATAGGGTGTGCACTCTAGTTTATTACTTCCTATGAACTAATTATTCCACTCTGTAACCTTTATGACCTCAATAAGTATTTTCATTGTCATCACTGATATCCAGAAAGAGCTTTGATTGGAGAGACAAAGAACAGAAACTATTAAACACATACAGTCCTCCCACTTCCATATCCTACAGCATGAGCTGGTTAGAACACAGTGCTAATGAAGCTATGAATTCAGGCTTAATTCTATAAGACTGCTAAATCCAAGTAGACTTACTGTAAGTGTATCTGTGAACTTTGTTGGCCACTAAATAGATCTATTTTGTATGAACAGATGGGTGAAAAACAATCATAATTAGTATGACTGTAATCTTCAATGTGTACTTTACCAGTCAGGAGTAATTATCATATTTCCTATATGGATGATAGCCTATATTGAGGGGAACTGTGGGGAAAAGACTCATTCAAACCTGTTTCTTAGCAGTGAAGAAAGACTTGGTAGAGTCTTGTTAGCCTAATTGTGAATTCTTAAATTTCCTTTATACACAGCAGTATCATTTAGGCCATAGCCATCAAACAGATTCATTTCAAAATTTTGACTGACAGCCCATGGTTCTTAAATTGACTTATTACAATGAAGAGTGGGTTACAGTTTAATTTTTAACAAATTATCTTCTATGTATCAATTCAGTTTTGCTGTATAACAAATTACCCCCAAACTTAACAGTTTAGCGTGACAGATGTTTATTATTTGTCATACGTTTGAGTGCTGGTCAGGTGGTTGTTTTGGTCTGGGCCAGTCTGAATGCTGGTGGATGGATAATCCAGGATGTCACTTTCATGCTGATGTTGGTAGCTGATTGGTATTGAGTGGGAACTACTTAGTTAGGGAAGCTTATCTCTGCTCCGTGTGGTCTCACTGTCCATTAAAAACCAGTCCAGTTTCTTAACATAATTCTCTCAGGGTTTCAAAGAGCAAAAAGAAAAGGCATACTCTGATGAGCAGAATGCTTTCAAGCCTGTGTTTGCCAAACAAATGCTGATGTCCCACTGATCAAAGTAAGTCATAAGGCCCAGCTCAGATATCAGGAATATAGATAGCCTGACGGGAAAGGCTACACTTTAAAGGCTTATCAACCTTAGCATGCAGAGGTCCCAGATCCCTGAAAAAGGAATTACTGATCCAGTAGTGATAATCACTAAAACCAAATTTCATTCCAAGGAAAAGTTGATTCTTTGTGAAATTTACCTGTATTTAAGGAAGTGTTTATGCTTGAGCTTTTAAGCAGATATCATTGTTTTGTCTTCTTTCCTTCCCTTCCTTCTTTCCTTCCTTTTTCTCTCTTTCTTTCTTTTCATATTCATATATTTTATCCAGAGTGACATAGGTTTTTCTACCTGAAGCATAATGTTGTTTAATGAACAGTGTATATGTGGAGCTGAACATGTATTTTCCATAGGAGGTTAACAATAATATTAAAAAGTAAGAACCTGAATTGAACCCTATTTTCTTTCTTGCTTTCTTTTATTTAGCACAAAGAAGATTTCATCCCTAAAGAAGATTCTTAGCACATTATCCGTTGCAGTTGTCTTTGGAATTACCTGGATTCTGGCATACTTAATGCTAACTGATAATGATGACATCAGGGTCATCTTCAGCTACATATTCTGCCTTTTCAACACAACTCAGGTATGGTATGAATTAGTCTGAAGGTAGCAGACCATGCAGTGGCAGAGGTGATACCACCCTGGATCAAACTTTTCTTATCTTAAAACTCTCTGAAGGTCACTGCTTAGTTAACTTTAGGTGACTCTATTTTTAAACCACTTTGAGGAAAGGGGAAGAAAAATGTTTTTATGACTTATCTCCTACATCCTGTCCTGAGCTGGAGTCCATGGAATATAATTGCAATAGAGCTGGACCATGTTAGTCCTTCTCCAAGCAGAGGAGGTTCTGTCGAGCAGCTAGCCTGGCAGCACCTCCTTTCCTTCTCTCCCCCATGCAGCAGGCCCGAGGAGCCTCACCGTGGCTGGTATGGCCAGTGTGGCACTGGTCCCTGGAGCCTGGACCCCTGTGGGGTTGGCTGAATTTTTTCTTTCTCTCTTTTTTGAAATTTTATGATTATTTAACTTTTAAAAATCTTTACTGAAGAATAATTGGCAATAATTGCTTTGAAAGGAACAGAACCTTATGAAGTTGTTTTTGTGACATACGTAGGATGTTACGTGTAGAACTGAAGATTCTTTTATTCTTGAGTCTTATCTCAAGAATATATTTAAAATAATACATCTTTTAAAAATGTCATTCATACTTGTTTAAAATATCTGAATTGAAAATTTATATTCTTTCCTTCTTTGGAAACCATTCTCTTAACGTTTTGCAAGTATCCACGGTGAGAAGCTCAAAATTTAGATTAAGAATTATGATCACCTTCTAATTTTCATCATGAAAAAATAATCATATAGATGAATCCAAATGGTAACTGAAAATAAAAAATTTCATTTGACTTCAAAACATTTTTGTTTTTATTCACTCGTATTTGTGTATTATATATTATTATTGTTTAGCTCCTAAGTTGTGTCTGACTCTCTTGTTATACTATGGACTGTAGCCTGCCAGGTTACTCTGCCCATGGGATTTCCCAGGCAAGAATACTGGAACTGGAGTGGGTTGCCGTTTCCTTCTCCAGGGGATCTTCCTACCCCAGCAATCGAATTTGCATCTCCTACATTAGCAGGTGCAGTCTTTACTACTGAGCCACCAGGAAGCCCATGTATTATGTGGGGGGAATGTCAAAAGTTTAAAATAAAACAAGGAGGCATTATTGAAAGACTTACCTTAAGATCAGGAGTTTCTCTCTGTGCTTCTTATTTTGTGCCTCTTCCTATACTGAACATTGCCTTTTGCTCTGATGAAATATATTACAAGGGCTTTTCCATCAGTACATGGAGTTTCATCTTTTCTGAGCTGGCAGAGTGAATTTATACTTCAGTATAATTAAAGTACTCTTCTTTTTAGGTTGTTCCATATCTTGGCTATTGTAAATGTTGTTAATGAACATTCGGGTGCACGTATCTTTTTGAATTATTGTTTTTGTTTTCTTTGGCTATATGCTCAGGAGTGAAACCTGCTTGATCGTGTGGTCATTCTGTATTTAGTTTTTTTGAGGAACCTCCATACTGTGTACCACAGTGGCTGCATCAGCTTACATTACCGCCAATGCCTTTTGCCAGTCCTTCTATATTGGAATGTCATGTTATTTTGACATTTTAATTTTAATGAATTTCTCATTAATGATAGTATGTTTTTGGAGTAACTGCTTAATGGATAGTTAGTAAATACTAATGAGGACTTTTCTAGCTGATAATTTTTCTGTAGGTACCATGGCACATGGATTCCAGATTAGCTTGGCACTTAATTCTTGGCAATAATTTTTTTTTTAATTGACATTGCATAGACTTTACTGAGATTTTATGTTGTGGAAAAAAGCTGAGACAGGTCAGAATTTTTTTGTTCTCACTCTTATATCACCCCTTAGAATATTTCTTGAAATAATTTTGAACTCATAAGAAGTTATAAAAATAGTACAGAGAGTTCCTATGTAGCCTTCACCCAGCTCCAGTGATAGCGTCTTATATGACTCTAATATATACAATAACACCCAGGAAAGTGACATTGATACAATCCACATAGACTATTTACTTATAAGCTTCAAGTGTGGGGAGCTGTGTGCAGTGTGGGGAGCTGCTTGGCTGTCTGAATTTCTGCCACCACGTTTAATGTTTGTAGGCTCTCGCCCTCTATCCCAGACAGCCCTCTCAGGCATTTTTTGAGAATAATTCCAGAAAACAATAGATGTTTCAAAAGGGAGGGGATGTATGTATACCTATTGGGGGCAGAAGGAGAAGGGGACGACAGAGGATGAGATGGTTGGATGGCATCACCGATTTGATGGACATGGGTTTGAGTAAACTCCGGGAGTTGGTGATGGACAGGGAGGCCTGGTGTGCTGCGATTCATGGGGTCGCAAAGAGTCGGACACTACTGAATGACTGAACTGAACTGAACTGATGGCTGATTCATGTTGAGGTTTGACAGAAAACAACAAAACTTTCTAAAGCAATTATCTTTCAATTAAAAAAGAACAAATAAAACAGTAGATGTGTGCCTGCCACCAAATTTGAATGGCTATAAGGCAGACCTTTACTGGTTGCAACACCCGAAGGAAGCTCCCCAGAAGGACAGTAAGTAGTGTAAGCTTAGTCTGGGATTGCCAGCCGAATCATGGAATTGCCACCTAAAGTGACTAGTAATTTAGAAAAGTATCTAAAAGAAGGTCTAGGCAAGGATATTTTCTCCTCCATGCACAGGAGAGACATATTACAAAATAGAGACTCATTACAAAATGTTAATACTTTATGGTAAAATTGAAGGCGGTCATTTGGCAAGAGCATTGAACTAAAAGGAGACTTAAGCTATCTTTCAGCTTTACGATTAATGATTCATATGATTTTAGGAAAGTCACACGTTTCTGAGTGAGGCATGTAAAATATAAAATGAAGTGGGGCTGTTAACATTAACACAGTGTTTTACAAAGTGGGCCTGAATATTGCCTGCATCAGAATTTACATGATGTGTTAGAATGCCGATTCCCGAGCCTCACCCCTTACCTACTCAGTCAGAACCTGTGAGGTAAAAGCTAGAAACCTTCATGCTAAACAAGGGCCCCAAGTGATTGTTATGGATACTAAGGAGTAGGAACAACTAGCTTAGTTCACCTGGAAGGCTCCTTCTAGGTTTAGAATAATCTATAATTCTAATAAATATTTTACTGAGTGTTACAGGTATTTTAAAAGGTACAGTTTGATCTTTGTGCTAGTGAGAATTAGTTTGACCCATACATTTTGTCTTTTCAGATAACATCTTTGGGATTTTAGGGAGCACAGAATCCTGCAGGATGGTGTCTTTATGAACTCTTCATGGTCTAGGTCTTTTCCTAATTATTGTACAACCAGAAATTCTATCCAGCCTTATCTTTACCTTAGAGTTTGAATTCTGGAAAATCCAGGTGAAAACATGTACTGAACAAAAATGATCCTTTTCCAGGAGCCAGATCTTCATGTCTTCAAAGCAAATTTCTCTCCCTTGAATAATCAGGATGACCAGGGGCCACTTTTGTCCTCCAGAAACCCATGTCCCGTTGAAAACATCCTCATGTCATCGAGGCCTTCTTCAGGGGAGTAGATACTACCCATTGGGTAATAATCAAGTTAAGCTTCTTGCTTTTGGCCAGAGATCTAGAGTATCCCTTGCCAATATGTATTGATCCTATTAGTCAAACTCTCGGAGTTATATAACCATAGCACCGGAAGTCTTCTGTAATGGTATTCCTATGATGTGATTCTAGAAATAACCTTTTTAAGTCTTGAGGCATAGTAGATATAAATCTGGGAGACAGCCATGGATTTTTTAAAATAGCTTTTATATTTTGAAATAGTCTTACACAAGAAATTGCAAAGACAGTACAGAGTTCCCTTATACTCTTTGCCCAGCTTTTCCCAATGATAATGTCATATATAACATTGTTAAAATCAAGAAATGAACATTGGTACAATACTCTCAACTCAACTATGGATGTTAGTTATTTTCCACAAAGGCTATTAATGAGGAATTATCAGGGGTCTTTTAGATGCTATAATGTACTTTATATGACCTTTGTATTACAAGCAAGAGGCAGAGTAGTATATCAGATACTGGAGTTTTGGAGCCAAACATATAGTTAGTTCCAGACTATACTGATTACTGGTTGTGTTCATTTTAGGCAAGTTACTTAATTTATCTAAACTGTAGTTTCCTTATCTGTAACATAGGGTAATAAACCTTATTTTATAGGGTTGATATTAGGACTAAATGAGAAGGATTAAATGATGAATATTGAATGAAAAGCATGTCTCATATTAATAAGAATGCAAAAAGTGGTTCTATACATTTTGAAAATGTATAGGAAATAGTGTTCAGTCTCCTATGGTTTAATTCCTTGTGCATATCTGGTCTTCTTATGTAAAGTACAGAAAAGCAGTGAATAGAAGTGGCTTAAACTTTTTTTTTTGTCCTTAAATGTACCAAATTTCTAGTTATTTTACCAAAAATCCAAGAAATATAGAAGCACAGAATATTAGAACTGTAAGAAGAATTAGGGAACCCATGGTCAATCTACCCATGTTAGGAAACTGAAGATCACAGACATTAAAAAAAGAACAAAGTTACTGTGCTATACTAAAATTAATATTTGGTCTTTGTCTTCAGTTCCTGGCACACAGGTCCTTTAATCTTTGGGCTCCCTGAGTGATGAGTGTTTTCTGCATGCTAATAAGATGATCAGTGGCTGAGGTTCCCCAGATAGCTTCAGGATGGAAGCTGGTCACCAGAAAGACCAAGGCTTGTTTAGAAGTTTGGAACTTCTAGCCCACTCCCCAACCTCCAGGGATGGGAGAAGGGTTGGATACTGAGTCATTCACCAACAGCTAATGATTTAATTGATCACATCTGTGTAATGAAACCTTTATAAAACCCCCTAAATGAAGGGGTTTGGAGAGCCTGCAAGTTGGTGAACAGATTGAAGTGCTGGGAGGGTGATAGACTCAGAGGCACCATGGAAGCTCCATGCTCTTGCCCTGTAATCTCTTCCGACTGGTTGTTCCTGACTTGTATCCTTTATAATAAAAATAGTAAGTGAAGCTCTGTCGTGAGTTCTGTGAGTCCTTCTAGCAAATTATCCAACCTGAAGTGGGGAGGCAGTAGTCAAGTTGAACAGAAGAGTGGATCGCCTGGGGACCTAATACCCATGACTGGCACCATTATGAGAGCGTTCCGGTGGGACTGAGCCCTTTGCCTGTAGGGTCTGACACGGACTCTGAGTAGTTAGTGTCAGAATTGAATTGTAGGACACCCAGTTGGTATCAGAATTGGTTGGTGTCAGGAGGAAAACAAGCCTGTCCTTTGCACAGCCAACATGTGGCAAATGGGGACCTGAACTCAGGTCTCTTAAGTCTACTACTTACATACAGCTCTTCAAATAGGAGAAGAACGTTGCCTCAACTTTCATAGAAGAAATGTACGTAGCGGTTGCTGACTGGTAAACTCCGGTTCTCAGCCACAAAGAAGGGTGGGGTGGCAGGGTGAAATACAATTTCTTCCCTGATTCTGTTGTCTCAATATTTACCTAATAGTAAACTTTTATTCTGTCTGCCAGGGATTGCAAATTTTCATCCTCTACACTGTGAGAACAAAAATCTTCCAGAGCAAAGCGTCCGAAGTGTTGAAGTCATTTTCGTCCACTGCTGGGAGAGTGAAGGTGCTGCCGTCAGTGCCGCTGAGGCTGCGTGTGAGGATGTACAGTTTGATGAGGTCATTACCAGCCCTGCATGAGCGTTTCCGGCTGCTGGAGCCGTCTACACTTAGCGAGGAGGTGTCCGAGAGTGACCAAGTGAACCCGAGCATCTAGACACTGGAACTGTCCCCTTTTGTGGCCCTCTTTTTATTCAGCTCACTTTTTCTATTTCCTTCCTTTATTATCCAGTCTTCTCATAAAATCTCCCTCAGTATATTTTGCTTAAAGTTAAGACTTAGATAAAACTTGTTGTTTATTATCATCAGGAATGTTGGATTTGGTAGTTTTTCTTTTATTCAATAGAGTCTTACCCCAATGAAGTGAAGAATTCCACTCAGCTTTCAAGATAAGTCAATTATCATTGCTCCCTACATCATAAAGTCTGTGTGACAACGTTTGATAAAAATATAGAACCTAAAACAAATTCTTTTACAATTTACCAAAAAGGACACGAAGAGAAAAATTTACTCCCCAGAACAAAATGGTTTCTGGTTAACACTACAGGGAGTTGCTTGTATGCATCATACTTCTGATCTTTGAATATTTTAAATTTGTATGTGCTTATACTTTTATTTCCAGTCAAGAACTTTGCACTTATTTAACCTCTGGAAAGGGTTTTTTTTTTTTTCCCTGTTAAAACAAAAAGCATATTTTATGCCCAGAGGAATTGACTCCATGAGAATTGGGACGTGAGACACAGAAAAATGAGCTGGTTGCTAAAGCCTCTATTTCCTTCCAGTTCTGGATACATCTATCCTTTTATTGATGAAATGACAGTGAGGCTCAAAAAATGAAAAGTTAGTCACTATCACCCCTCGTGACTTCTTTTTTTTTCATTTATTTTTATTAGTTGAAGGCTAATTACTTTACAATATTGTAGTGGTTTTTGCCATACATTGACATGAATCAGCCATGGATTTACATGTGTCCCTTATGACTTCTAAAAGATCCAGCTGCTCATGAGGTTTCAAACACTTGAGTTATGAATGGCTTCCTAAATAAAAAATGACCTCCCCTGGGTTGGAAAGAGTACTCCCACTGGACTTCGGAGATAGAGCCTTTGAAATGCTGTGTTCTGTTTCGTCATAAACGAGGAACTTGCTGTGAGTGCCCTGAGCTAAGGGACTAACCAATGTCAAGTAAGTCGTGGCATACCATCCTCACCATGCCTCAAAGAACATGTGTTTTCCATAGAAATGGTTGTAAATGATTGTCAGATTTCTAGGTGAGCCAAGAGCCTACTCCATCTGTAGTATAATTGAGACCTTAAAGGATAATGGAAAATGTAAGTAAAGCATTGTAATGTAAATGTAATGTAAAGCAAATGTCATGTAAAGTAAAGAATAAGTAAAGCAATTCACTGAGGGCAGTGTTTTTAGTGGTGTTATAGTCACATCCCTAGACAGGGGCTGGACTTTGGGAAAATTACAAGATGCGGTTGACCTACTCGATGTCCAGGTTTATATTCAGATGAAAATAAACCTTAAGTAGAGGCCACTTTAAATGTGGAAAAAAATCACCAAAGAGCGACATTTAGCCTGAGGGTGAAACATGTGTTCCCTTGGTGGTTTTAGTTTTCTATGTACTTTTTCCAGCATTATGGGAGGTGTAGCAAATCGAAATTTCATATACCATTCCTGGGAAGGCTCTACCATAAATGCAGAAGAACCACGTACTGTGCGTGCTGTGGAGGCCAAGTCGGGCGAACACTGATGTTCCCCTACCTTCCCTGAAATTCTGCCTCTTGGAAATAATTCTATTGATTTAAGCCTGCACTGGTTGAGAATCTTTTTTCAATTTAGTGATCCAACTTAAGGGGAAATCACCATCCTGACTTTGGGGTTTCCTTTCCTGGGTCTTAACAATTCAGAGATTACTGTTCGTCAGTCTGAATTATTTTTTCTCTTACCCTTTCCATTTTGAAGTTCATGTTGCCTTTTTTTTCCCCCCCCTGTTACCAACAAAAGGAGATCATTCTCAAGCCCACTGTCACTGCCTCCTTCAGAAGAGCTTGGCATTCTTGGCCAATGCTTGGAAAACCTGGGCCAGAAGTGCTGACTATATTACACCAGCCAGTCAGCCACTGGAGCTCCCTAGCCCTGGGAGATCCCCTTACTGTGACCCTGGGATCTTCAGGACCTGGCTCCTCAGATGAGGCCCAAGTAGAGCCACCAGGATTGGTTCCAACCCCAGGGGCGGGGGTGGGGTGGGAAACACAGGGCTAGAGGGGGAGGGGCCAGTTACTAGGAGAGGAAGAAGCTTCCTGTTGACATTTTTAAAAACCTTGTGCTAACCATATAATGGCAATTTTAGATCTTTATAAATTATCTTTTTCAAAAAAGCAAAATCAGTAATTCCCTGACCTATCAATAATGTATTTTTTTGTAATGTTCCCTTTTACTCTGTGTGTGAATACATAAGAATTTAAACAGCTGTAATTATAGCAAATGAAATTCATTCTGATTTATCCTGACAGTTGCCCACTTGTTGCAATAACTGCATAATATAGCATAGGTTACCAAGTGGTTCTGTTACTGAATGTCTGTGCGCTACATTGTTTCAGTCATGTCGGACCCTTCCGCCCACCAGGCTCCTGGTCCACTGGATTCTCCAGGCAAGAATACTGGAGTGGGTTGCCATTTCCTCCTCCAGGGGATCTTCCCAACCCAGGGATCAAACCCCCTTACATCTCCTGAGTTGGCAGGCAGGTTCTTTACCACTAGCACCACAAAGTCTAGATCATTTCAATTTTTAATATTATAGTGACATATGATTAATAAACTGGTATATATTTTTCCTTTCTTTTAAATTATTTCCTGAAGATAAATTCTCAGGATGATGATAAACATGTCAAAGGGATGAACATTCAAGTTCCTTGTATATACTATTGTCTTGACAAAAATGTGACCAACGTCATGGAGTACCATAAACAGTTTTTTGTATACTGTTTACTTTGGTGGTGTTTAATTTTTTAAATTATTCATAGGTGTATGTAGTCCACTTATCAATTGAACTGTTATTTTTTCTCATAAATTTGTATGAATTCTTTTCTATTATGGCTATTAGCCCTTTATTACATTTAGTGACAATATTTTCCCCCAGTTTGTTTCCTCTCTTTATAATATAATAAAATGCTCACTCTGCATTTGATTCAAAATATCCAAAAGATTTATGGGAGCATTTAGCATTTCTTGAGTTTAAATGTCTTCATGCAGGCAGAGTATTTTGTATTAAGGAATGATTTTTGTATTAAGGAGTAGGTTAGGGATTATGTAAAAACTTCTAAAATGAATAACAGGGGTATAAGTATGCCAACCATGGCCAAAGGAATCATGTATTACAGACACAGGCCATCTCTCACCCTTCATTATATCGTGTAACAGTTGGGTGGCGTTCCATGACAAAGTTATTTTTTCCTCTCCAACATGCTTTCTTTTTGCATCTGTCCACCCTTTCTTAAAATAAAACACTAAATCTTGGAGAAGATTAGCAACTATTTGTTAACACACACAAAAACCTCAGGGAGATTCAAATGTTACACATGCATCATCTGTATTACTTCACTTACATTAAAATGTCTATTTGAAAAATATATATAAAAGCTGCTGAAAAATAGAGTAAGAAAATCAGGAGGAAGAGAAAATAATCATAGGAGCAGTAAGTAAGAAGAGAAGGACAAGATCAGTACCCAAGGAACATGTCTGGTGAGCTTATATTTTTGCTATAAAAAGTGCAGGAGACCTGAGTTCAGTCCCTGGGTCGGGAAGATCCCTGGAGAAGGGAATGGCCACCCACTCCAGTGTTCTTGCCTGGAGAATTCCATGGACAGAGGAGCCTGGGGGGCTGCTGTCCAAGGCGTTGCAGAGTCAGACATGACAGAAACAACTTAGCACACACGCATACAATACGGAAGTGACACAATACAAAGACAGTGCGCCTTAGGAATCTTCGGTCTCTCAAGGGGGTCACTGAGGACTATTTTTGTTTGGTTTTTAAAAAATGCAGAAGTGGTTTTCCTTAATTTTGGTTATTGGAGTTAATTCTGTTTTGCTTTTCTTTTTTAACTTTTAAAATGAACTTCATTGCCATATAATTTACATGCAATAAAATGCACCCATTTTAAGTGTATAATTAGATGAGTTTTAACAAATGTGTACACCTGTGAAACAAGATTAAGAACATTTCCTTCACCCTGTAACCTACTCTGCCCCAGTTAAAGCTTACTTCACCCTTCCCAGCTCCAGGCAACCACTTGTCTGCTTTCAACCACCATGTGTTAATTTTGCCTGTTCCAGAATGCCATGTAAATAGGACCATATCCTCTTTTGAGTCTGGCTTCTTTCATTCAGCATAGGGTCTTTGAGATTCATCCATGTTATATATATATATCATTGGCTTACTTTTTATTGCTGAGTAAAATTCAGTTTGGATAGATCATGTTTTGTTCATGCATTTACCAGTTGAGGGACATTTGGTCATTTCCAGGTTTTGAAAACCATGAATAAAACTGATACAACCAATCTTCTATAAGTCTTTGTGTAGATATGTTTTCTCTTGAAATATCTAGTATAGTGTAATACTGAGTCGTAGAATAAGTGTATATTTAACTATGCATGAAACTGCCAGTTTTGCAAAGTAGTTTTGCCATTTTATACTCTCAGTAGCAATATAGGGGAATTAGTAAAGTCCTGATTTTTGAATTGTTTCAAAAAGTTCCTGTAACCTACTCTGCCCCAGTTAAAGCTTACTTCACCCTTCCCAGCTCCAGGCAACCACTTGTCTGCTTTCAACCACCATGTGTTAATTTTGCCTGTTCCAGAATGCCATGTAAATAGGACCATATCCTCTTTTGAGTCTGGCTTCTTTCATTCAGCATAGGGTCTTTGAGATTCATCCATGTTATATATATATATCATTGGCTTACTTTTTATTGCTGAGTAAAATTCAGTTTGGATAGATCATGTTTTGTTCATGTATTTACTAGTTGAGGGACATTTGGTCATTTCCAGGTTTTCAGAACCATGAATAAAACTGATACAACCAATCTTCTATAAGTCTTTGTGTAGGTATGTTTTCTCTTGAAATATCTAGTATAGTGTAATACTGAGTCGTAGAGT